CCCCGGAGCCGGCCAGCTCTGTGCCCCACGGGTGATTCAAGGGTTGCCCTTCCCTGCCCTGGGCTCGCCTCCCCCACCTCCTCCTCTGCTTCACTGTCCCGGGCCCAGCAGTTGCCGGCGCACTCATGCTCCGAGGCCTGAGCCAACCGAAGGCGAGGCAAGCACGGGGCCCTGCGCGCAACGCGGCACCTAAGGAGGCCTGCCCGGTGCAGACTCTCCTGCTCCCACCGGCGCCCTTCCCTCTAGAAACGTCGAGCGAACTGGAGCTAGTGGCGCCCCCACCCAACGCCACCTCGGAGACTCGGGCTCCTTCTCTCTCAACTTCGAACAATACAGAGTGTGCTACGAAAAGACAAGATGGCGCCCAGCAAGAGGAGCGGAGAAAGGGGTGTAAATCTTACTTCCAAACTGGAAGCGCCAACAAAGGCGTGGGAGGTCTAACTGCGCAGGCGTGCAGCTTCGGCAAGCTTCAGAATTCCAACTGCCGGGCGCGTCCAAAACGTGGTCCCTGACTGAGACTTATTTTACGCCACTAGAGCGGGGGTGGGTAGCGTCAGAAAGAGCGAGGAGCAGGGGACGGGCCAGCTTCGCCGCGGGAAAAGAACGGGAGGCGGAGTGTCCGCAGCGCGCACGCGCAACGAAAGTCAATGGCGGTCTGGAGAGACTGGCGGAAGCTAGCTTTGCAATATGGCGGCCGAGGCAGATGGACCGCTTAAACGGCTGCTCGTGCCGATTCTTTTACCTGAGAAATGCTACGACCAACTTTTCGTTCAGTGGGACTTGCTTCACGGTGAGTTTTATTCAGCATCCAATCCAAGTCCTGCTCGAGTGACCGTGGACCCTTAGTCCAAGGCTTGATCGGCGACTAAGTGACGGCAGTCACTGCCGCCACGCCGAGCTGAGCGGAAGTCACTTCTGAGAGGGGCGGAAGTGTCTCGGGCCCCTTAGAGGGAGGACGCCATATTTGTGCCAGTGGGGAAGTCACCGGGTGGAATTACTTTGTGAGATTTGAGCTTTAGCGACAATGAAAGACGAAAAGACTCAACTTTTATAAAACAAAATAAAAGTCAAGTCAAATCATGCCAACCTTTATTAGATCGCTAGCAGGGTTAAGCTTAATTCAAAGCCCCTGATGAATTGGGCCTTCATTGCACCCCCAAAGGCTCCGCCACCCTGATTGCTTTCTTTCCAGCCTCCAGGTTTGCGCATAGTCTGATTTCGGAATAATTTGCCTCCCTTCCTTTTTGATTGCGAGACAGCTCCACAACAAGGCCCACCGTCAGACCATTTGGGAAGCGTCAGTCTGCCCCTCTCTTGAACTCGTGGGGCACTTTGTTTTAGCCGCATTCATGACCCGTGAGAGTCTGACTCCCACTGGACCAAGCTCCTTGAGGGGAAGGCTTCAAGGCTAGATAAGTTGTAGATGGCCAGGGCATAAAAGCAAGTCCTGAAAGGGTAAGGTTTAGTCCCTGAGTAGGGGCCAGGGACAGAGTGTTCAAGAAAGAGTGGTATGGGGCGGGCACGGTGGCTCACGCCTGTAATCCCAGCACTTTGGGAGGCCGAGGCAGGTGGATCACCTGAGGTCAGGCGTTTGAGACCAGCCTGGCCAATAGGGTGAAACCCCGTCTCTACTAAAAATACAAAAAATTAGCTGGACATTGTGGCAGGCGCCTGTAATCCCAGCTACTTGGGAGGCTGAGGCAGGAGAATCTCTTGAACCCAGGAGGCAGAGGTTACAGTGAGCCAAGATCGTGCCATTGCACTCCAGCCTGGGCAACAAGAGTGAAACTCCGTGTCAAAGTTAAAAAAAAAAAAAGTATGAAGACTTGTCTTTGGTGAGAGAAGACATGTGAAATGGGGCACCCATTGGCCCAGAGAAGGGAGATAAAGGATTAAAAAACTCTTGGGCATTTCTTAACTTGGCATTTCTTAACTTTATACGGGGAAGCAATGGAGAGCCGTGAAGGTCAAGCCAAGTTTGGATGTTAATTTATAGGGAAGGGAAGATTGGATGTGGCAGGTGGTAGGCATTGGAGAAAAGCTGTTTTGGAAAGTAATAGTCTGGGGCCCAGCGCGGTAGCTCGAGCCTATAATCCCAGCACTTTAGGAGGCTGAGGCAGGTGGATCATCTGAAGTCAGGAGTTCGACACCAGCCTGGCCAACATGGTGAAACCCCGTCTCTGCTAAAAACACAAAAATTAGCCAGGCATGGTGGCTGTCTCTTATACACATCTAGATGTGTATAAGAGACAGGAACCTGAGAGGCAGAGGCTGCAGTGGGCTGAGATCGGGCCACTGCACTCCAGCCTGTGCACGAAGATCTGGAGTTTTTTTTTGAAACTCTGTCTCAAAAAAAAAAAAGGGATGAGGGGCCAGGAAAGTTTTAAGCCCTTTTAAAAACCTAATCATCACCAGTGGAGGTGACCTTGAAAAGGGGTGAGCATCCCAAGAATGGCCACGATTGAGAATGAGCCAATCCCGTGCGGGGGCTGTAGAGAAGTGTGATCAGAGCATGGTGTCCCTGGATGGATGGGCTATGGAGGCTTTCCCTGCCTCTTTCTAGGCCCGCCTTTCTTCCTCCCAACTCTTGACTCTGCAGCTCTTGGGGTGAAGCCTTATTCCTGATGCTCCAGACGATCACCATCTGCTTCCTGGTCATGCACTACAGAGGACAGACTGTGAAAGGTGCTGGGGATTTCCCTAAGAGCAGGCTGTGTGGTTCCTGGGAACCCTGCTGGGAACTCAGGCCTGGGAAAGCCAAATGATGTTGGGAGATTGACAAGGACTCCTGTCTCCCCACCCCTAGGTGTCGCTTTCCTCGCTTGCTACGGCCTGGTCCTGCTGGTGCTTCTCTCACCTCTGACGCCCTTGACTGTAGTCACCCTGCTCCAGGCCTCCAATGTGCCTGCTGTGGTGGTGGGGAGGGTGGGTACCAGGAGCAAGGGACAAGATGTTGGGGGGCAGGGTGGAGGGGAAAGAGTGGAAGGTCAAAGTGTGGGGGTGTTGGACTTGGGGGAGTATGGGAGGAGCTCAGGTGACAGAGCCAAAGGTCTCAACTCCTCCCCTAGCTTCTCCAGGCAGCCACCAATTACCACAATGGGCACACAGGCCAGCTCTCAGCCATCACAGTCTTCCTGCTGTTTGGGGGCTCCCTGGCCCGAATCTTCACTTCCATTCAGGTGAGTGCAACATCTTCCTTCTAGAAGGCACTAAAACCTCATCTTTCTTCTCCCAGCTAAGGGCCAAAGCTGCCCCGTCAGGATCCTTTATCCATAAGGGAACCTTTCTTGAGCTATGCTGAAGGGTAACGCTGGCTCTGTCTCTTGCAACCAGGAAACTGGAGATCCCCTGATGGCTGGGACCTTTGTGGTCTCCTCACTCTGCAACGGCCTCATCGCCGCCCAGCTGCTCTTCTACTGGAATGCAAGGCCTCCCCACAGGCAGAAAAAGGCGGAGTAGAGCCAGCTACTGGAGTCATTCCGTTTCCACTCATTCACCCAACCTCAGGGTTCTCCCCATCTGAGCCAGCCTGCTGGTGTGACTTACTCATCCTCCATTCCTCTGCATTTGCAGACTTTCTAAGCCAGGGTTGGCTGTAGTGGAAACAAATGGTTGATGGATCCAGATCCTTAAGAAAAGGAGAGGATGGGGGTAGAGTCTCCTAAGCCAAAATTTTGACATTTGAGTGCTTTTCTAAGCCCTGTACATGAACTATTAACTCAGTCATTCAGCCAAGCCTCCTCCTCTAGCAGCAGTTTCCAGCTGTTTAACACTATCCTGGGTAAATGTTTTACGCTGTCCTCCAGCCTCCCTGCTTCCCTTCTGGCCTTAGAAGATGGAGCCTGGAAGGCAGAGTGGAGGGGACTGGGGGCCTGTGGCTGCCTCCCCGCCTCAGCCTGGCTGGGACTGTCTCCCAGACCCCAGTGCTGAGGTGGGGGAAGGGGGACGGAGAATGACTCAGGCAGGGCCCCAGGGTGGGGTGAGGAGGTTCCTGCTCTGGCAGGTCTAGGCGGAAGGGAGTGGAGATGGGGCTGGTTCCTGCTGCAGTGAGGGGAACAGATGGGACAATAAAGACTGGAGACTCAGTTGACTAATACAAAACTGTGTTTAATACTACCAAAAATATAACTGTGTGTTGTGCGGCTCTCCCTGGCTTTCGTGGGAGGACTGCAGGCGGCGTCTGCACTGTAGTCCAACAGGAGAAAGGGTTGACAGCCTGGGGTAGGGGATGCTGCTGGATTAAAAAAGGAGGATGAGGCACGTCCGGTGAGGTCTGAGTCCACGAGAGTTAGAGGTGGGTTAGGGGCATGGGGGCACCAGAAAGGGGAGGATTGTATGGAGTGGGAGAGCCAGGGGGCAGGTAGTGGGTATAGGGGGGCAGCAGCTCCCCCTGGAGCCTAGGGTCACTCTGAGGGAGGGAGCACGATGAGGGGGCCTCCAGTTTGCAGTGGGAAGAGCTGCAGAGAGAAACAAGAGGTTAGAGGGCACCTCCCTGGGTTGGAGGTGAGTTCGACCAATTCTGGGCAGACAGGGTAGAGCTTGCCACCCACCCAGCCCTGGCTACCCAGCCCGCTGGGCGCAGCAGGCATGGAAGCCGACCCGGGAATAGAGAGCCCGCGGCCCTGTTGGGGCACGCTCGGGAGCGGGCTTGCGTGCTGCACGGCTGTTTTCCTCTTGGGGCTGGGGAGTCAGGCCAGGAAGGGGCAGAATGGGCTTGGCCTCTCCTTGCCCTGGGGGCTGGGAGAGGAAGCTGGGTCACACACAGGCCAGAAGCAGGGGGGAAACAGGGCATCTAACTAGGACACAATCGCATCCAGGGGTCCGTCACCGGGCCCTGCAGGGCCATCACCTTCAGACTGAGATGGAAACGCCCTCTGGGAGAACCCTGACCCGCCCCACCCTACACAGGTCCCGAAGGTACTGGCGCCTGTGCCCGCCACACCTTGGCCGAGAGTGGCCTCTGCTTGGGTGGGCTCCCGTCCTCCGGCATCCGCCCCCACCAAGGCTCCAGGAGAGGGGCGCATGGGCCCTCCGTCTTCAGCCCGCTTCCCAGGCACTCACCCATAGCTGCCGGGCAGGTAGGCTGTCGAGTAGTTGGGGGGTCTGTATCCAAAGCCTCTGCTAGGTTGGGTGGTCGCGTACCCCGGCCCCCAGATCGCGCCGCCGCCGGCCAGGCTACCTCTTCCCTGTCCGCAGCGGGAAGGTCCGGCGCCCGAGCTCTTGGCCTTGCGCCGAGGGCGGTACTTGTAGTCGGGGTAGTCGCGCAGGTGCCGGGCGCGGAGCCGCTTGGCCTCTTCCACGAAGGGCCGCTTCTCGTCCTCGTCCAGCAGCTTCCACTGTGCGCCCAGGCGCTTGGAGATCTCAGAGTTGTGCATCTTGGGGTTCTGCTGCGCCATCTGGCGGCGCTGAGCGGAGCTCCACACCATGAACGCGTTCATGGGCCGCTTCACCTTCTCCAGGGGCAGCGCCCCGGGGGCCGCGGGGCTCCCAGCGCCCTCCCGCTCCTGGGGTCCCGAAGATGAAGACGCAGAAGCCGTGGGAGCAGGAGGCTCCAGGCTCCAGGCCTGGTCCTGTGAGGAGCACGGTAGCGCCATGGGTTGGGAGAAGCCTTAAGAGGGCGTCCTGAATGCCCTCCCCTCAACGTGAAGCGTCGATCCTGAAAATGGAGGGGTCTTCCCAGTCTGGAGTCGTTGCCGAGGAACTTGGGTCCTTAAAAAGTATATTTTATCCCCAAGCCCAGCGCTTAAACTAGAGCCTTTGCTTCCAACCAGTTCGGCACACTTTGGGGAGAGTCGAATGCAAAATCCGCTGTCTGATGCCCCGGCACTGAAGAGGTGCTGCTCTGAGGCCTACTGAATGGGGGGACCCCCCCGGTCCCTCTCCCCGACCCGCAGCTGCGATCAGACCGACCTTCCGTAGAGGGGGTAAACCATAAACCGCTTTGTGGTCTCCAGAGTTCCCGCAGCTGCCAGGCGCGGATGACCCAGAACTCTCCCACCTGGGCTCAGCGTTTGTGGCAGGCGGGCCAGCCCTGGGAACAGCTTTTAAAGACTGACTCCGCCCCTGGCCCTCCCAGAACACTGCACCTCCTTAAGGGCGCCAACATCCGCTGCCCGTAGGTAAACCCAGGTGTCCTGTTTGTCCCAGCCCCCAACACCCTCAGGGTGCCACGCCCCCCCCCACCCAAGACCTGATGTCAGGCCTTCCAGCCCGTGGCTGATTGCCTCCCCTCCCTGAGCACAGGCAATTTAAAGCCAATTCTTTCCACAATGGGATCAGGCACAGGCGGATCAAGTGCCCTCAGGGCCTGAGTTGTGCTGAGAGGAGCTTGGGAGCATCCCCGACCACCAACTCAAACCCTTTCCTGGCGCCTGTTGCTCCTCAAATCCCAGACCTGCCCCTGGGGCAAGAAAGGCCGAGGAGAGAGACCATTTTTGTTTCCTGAGTCATTCCAGCAGGTGCTTGGGCCGTGATTCAACCCCTTTCCCAAGTGAGAAAACTTAAGCCCTCCCAACTCCAGTCCCTAAACCTAGATTTCTCGACTGCCATTGAATTATGGCAAGTTTTATCTTCAGTCCTCCCAGTCATGAGGGGGGAGCCAGGAAACCTAGGACAACTCGAGTTGAGAGGTCTGTGATGTGCATGCCGGATGAAAAGCCTGGAGCCAGATCACAACACCACCAAGAAGGCCGGGCCCCAGGCTCCAGAGGCTGCCGTCAGGGAACCCTGCTCCTCATTCTGCCCAACGGCCCAGCCCAAGCCCCAGGCCTCAGGTAATCGGATTAAGCAGCCTGCCTCGGCTCTCAGCTTCTAGCAGGAACAGCTCCAGCTCTGAGCAGCCCTGCCTAGCCTGTGCCGTGACTCAGGGTATAGGAGTGGCCCAACTCCCTCCATCAGCAAACTTGGGGGAGGGGAGAAGCAACAAGGCACAAGCCCCCCTCCTCTGGACCAGGAGGGAGAACCTGGGCCTGGGGAGTTTAGGAATGTCAGGAATTCCCAGAAGTAAGACCATCTTTGGGACAAGAGACAATGAGAAGTCAGGTGTGGAGGAACAGAAAACAAGAGCGGGGGGTCAGGACAGGTCAGTCCTAGAGAAACAAACGGACCAAACTGGGGACAAAGGCGGCACAGGAGCCAGAGAGCCATTTGGATTTTTTTATTCTCTTTTTAAATACTGTACAGTGAAAAATAAATACGCCTTCTCATCCACCAGACAAGGTTGGTCCCCTCCCCCGGGGGACCTTGTCACCCCCCTTCATACACACCCCTGGTTCTACTCCAAAACCTTCCCCGTGCCTCCCACCCACTTATCTCTTACTATCCCCGTCTTCCACAGTGATGAGGCCCCAGAAATGGGGGGTACAGGATGGGAGGAGGGATAGCAGGGGAGGCCCCCTGAACGGTCAAATCTGGGTGGGTCAAGGAGCACCCCCCACCAACAGGTGGAGAATGGGGGTGTTCAGAGAGAGATTGGGGCATTAGAGGATAAAGGCACATCCAGTCTGATGGGGAAGGAGAGAGGCTCCCCTTACCCTGGGGGTAGGGTGGACAAGAGGGAGGGGGTATGACCCTGTTACACACCCCTCCACTAGCTCCTGGAGGTTGGGGGGTACCCAAGCTGCTGTGCCACCCCCCTCCCCCCTAGATAAGAGCAGCTCCAGCGCAGGTCAGTTGGGCCTGTGAGGGCCATGGTGTTGGGCAGCAAGCGAGATGGAGAAGGGAGGGGTGCAGGCTGGAGGTTTTATGAAACCCCATTCACCATACTACCCAACTCCAAGGGGGCGGAGAGCTCCCCATTCTCCGAGGGGCCCTTAGGAAGCTTGCTGACAGAGTCACCCTGAGGGGAAAGTGGGAAAGAAAACAGACAAGCAAGAAGCGGTGAGTAGAAATTCAGGTGGGAGACATTTCTACCATCCAAGCCCTCCTGGCATTTGGTGATCCTGAGGTTGGTTCCCTCATGATCCAGTCTCTCTTACTTGGGATCCACAAAATGTGAACCACACTTTCCTCTCTATCCTATTCAAAGTTTACACTAGTCTAAACTCCATCAGACACAGCTGCCTCTGCAATTCAGTAAGAGATTTATTTGTGAAATTTGTTGTGCCCTCTGCCCCAGAGTAACAACAAAAAAGGGATGGGTAAATCACATCTTGCCTGCCTACCTTCTGTCCTGAAAGAGAGTCCTCTGAGGGTTTAGTGCGTTCCAGGGGTGGCCGCTGGCGGCTCTGAGACTCTGCTCGTGAGATATAGTCAGCCACAGTCACTGGGGAAGGCAGGAGATTAAGACTTTCAGATGGAATTCTGGTAGCCAGCCCAAGACACCCACTGAACCCGAACCCCTGATTTTCACAGGGTAGGAAGCATCCCATTCTCTCAGCTCTGAGGAAGGATTCTGGTGTCCAGAGTTGGCTGACCTGGCTGGCGGTCTCCACTGATAGAACCATCAGTCCGATTACCACGGTTACGGCGGCGGCGGCTGCGATTACGACGTTGAGGTCTTGATTCATCTTCTGTAGGGCAGGAAAAAACCAGAGTCACACATCTAACCTCTCACCCTCGATTCCTACCCATGTCTAACTTTCCAGACTCCAGGCACACCCTCACCCAGGCCATTCTCTGTCATGTTGGGCCCATCTGATTCCAGGCTTCCATCCATGACGGTCCTGTCTTCATCAGTGCGGCGGCGGCGGGAGCGGCGGCGCCTGGCACTTGCTGGGGGGGGTTCCCCAGGTTCTGAATCAACCGGGGGCTCTGGTTCAGATGTGTCCAATAGGCTGTAGGGATTACTGTCTGGATCCTTCAGCACTGGTCAGAGGAAGAAGAGGAGAAGGTGGCATTCAGGTGCCCATCATCTTTTGTTTTGGCCCATATTCATGAACCCAGCTGTCTGGTACCTGAGCTAATAGATGAAGAATTATATCTCGAAGTGGGCCGGGGGGCAGGTGGGGGTCCCCTACCCCGGCCCCCAATCGGCCGCCTCCGGCTTTCTTCCCCTCGGGTTGGGGGATCCCTGTCGCCAGGCCCAGCTCGGTTGGGTTCCTCTCTCTTCTCTGACTCAGTCTCTGAAGCTGTAGACACATCTGAGCTGGGGCCTGAAGAACACAGTGGGATTTATTCACGGCCATTCGTCCTACCTCAGGATCCATCACATCCCCCAAACTGGAAGAATTCTCCCTCTCACTCACAAGTCCCCCAGCCAATCAATCACTTCTTTATCATCTCCATCCCAGATTTCCCCAAACTTCCATCCAGACCTCTGCCTCTACCCACAAGCCCTGCCACTCCCTGCCTCCTGTTCCCAAGCTGTCTCACCATAGGCAGGACCGCCTGTCCTCCGGCCACGGCCACGGCCCCCATAGCTGCCCCCATAGGTTCGAGTCGCATGGAGGGAGGAGGAGGAGCTCTCATCGGTGCTATATCCAGCCTTGTCGCTGCCACCGCTGCCCCGCCCACTCCCAGGAGGGCGAAAGCCCAGCCCAATCTGCCGAAGCTGCTCATCAATTTGCAACCTCTCCAAGCGAAGCTGCTCTACCTCCTGGTTGGGTAAAAGACGGAAGAAGCGAAAGGAGAAATAAGATCAGTGCCTTTCTTCATGCTTCTCCACCCTGACTGTCCCTCTATATCTAATCTCTTAGGAATGCAAGGAGAAGGAAGACACTGGCTAAACAAGGAAAATTCTGGGACCCAACCCTATAGCCCCAAATTTCCACAAATGTTTTCTGTTCTACATGGAGAGGCAAACAGAGCACCAAAATTCCTGAGTTGACCCCCACAGCAGTCTTAGTTCAAACCCTTTCCACACCCAGCTCTGTCCTCTCCCAGCCTGGGTACCTGCAGGTAGGAAAGGTGATACTCCAGCAAAGCCTGGGCATTGCTGATGTTCTCTCGGGTGCCAACAAAAATGAAGGGAACCATTCCCTGGAGAGCAGAGAGCAGAGACGATGGATCAGAAAGGAAAATGAAATGGAAGGATTAACCCCGCCCAGTGTCCTAGGGGAACCTGCCCAGTGGGATCATTCTGGGCTCTAAATCTACTAGGGTTAAACAAGTTTCCGTACTCCACCCTCTCAAAGGACAATCCCAGCCCTAAGAGGACAATCCCATTTACTTCTGGAAACCAATCTCTATGCCCACTTGCCCCGTACCCATACCTCCTCCCTGGGGTTCTTCTTGTCATTATCCCCTTCCACTCGAACCCTCACCACACCAGATTTATCCACAATCTCCTGGATCACTTTCCCGTTCTTTCCAATCACTTTGCCTGGAATAAGTAAAGGAGGAATTAAGCCTTTTTTTTTTTTTTTTAGGAAATAAGAATAAAGCTGATAAACCGTCTTCCAGCCTCATTTTCTTTATATGGATTCCATTTACTTCATTCTCCTGCTTCTAGTTTTCTGATGTGTTTTTACAGGACAAAATGTTACAATCCCTAGAAATTTATTCTTTCATTTTTATCACTCCCATTACAGACTGTTTCTCTGTCCTTGTGAAACTGAGAGTCCACAGGGAGGTGCCAATCCTAGATACAAGCTCAGAATCACTGTAGAGAATCTTGATTCTGACCTCTAACTGTATATACACGCCACCAACTCACCAACCAGGTTCCTGGGCACTTGCACTGAGTCCTCAGAAAACTCAAGGTAGCTTCGGGCCTGTCGGCAAGCCTCGGGAGTCTAAAGGAAGAACAGCGGGGAGTTGTTACTAAAACAGAAGACCAGCTGGGTGAGGTGGCTCGTGCCTGTAATCCCAGCACTTTAGGAGGCTGAGGCAGGCGGATAACTTGAGGTCAGGAGTTCAAGACTAGCCTGGGCGATATGGTGAAACGCTATCTCTACTAAAAATACAAAAAATCAGCCAAGCATGGTGGCTCACGTCTGTCATCCCAGCTACTCAGGAGGCTGAGGCAGAAGAATTTCTTGAACCCAGGAGGTGGACATTGCAATAAGCTGAGATTATGCCACTACACTCCAGCCCGGGCAACAGAGTGAGTTAGACTCCGTCTCATAAAGAAATAAATTAAACAAATAAATAACTTAAAAAAAACAAAAAAAACAAAAAAACAGAGGACCTTGGCCAGCCACAGTGGCTCACACCTGTAATCTCAACAGTTTGGGAGGCTAAGGGAGGACTGCTTGAGGCCAGGAGTTAAAGACAAGCTTGGGCGACACAGATCTGGTCTATTTTTGTTATTTTTTGGTCTCACTCTATTGACTATATTGCCCAGGTTGGTTCAGTGGCACCATCATGGTGTATTGCAGCCTCGACTTTCTAGGCTCAAGTGATCCTCCTGCCTCAGCCTCCCAAGTAGCCAAGTAGCTGGGGCC